GTATAACATATGTTATATCATATAATATATGTTATTATATACTATATAGTATAACATAGTATGTTATATTATAACATATGTAATATTATGACAAATATAAACTACCCTATATTATAAACTACCCTATATTATAACATATATAATATTATAACAAATATAACATATGTTATGTTATAACATATATGTTATTTTACTATATGTTATAACATAGATCATGTAAAGTATACTATATAATATAATATAGTAACATAGTAATATATTACTATATGTTATTATATTACTATGTTATTATATGTTATTATATTACTATGTTATAGTAACATAGTAATATATTACTATGTTATATTATAACATATGTTATATAATAACATAGATGTTATAATATAACATTTACGATATAATATAACATATGCTGTATAATATATCATATGTTATATAATATAACATATGTTATATTATACCATATGTTTAGGGTCTGGGGTTTAGGGTTTAGTTTAGGGTTATATTATACCATATGTACGAAGTTGACTTCAATTGTACGAAATTGACTTCAATTGTACTGAATTGACTTCAATTGTACGAAATTGACTTCAATTGTACTGAGTTGACTTCAATTGTACGAAATTGACTTCAATTGTACTGAGTTGACTATCCTTTTTCAAAAGAAGTATCCGTCCTTTGATGACTATCCTGCTTAAGAATTTGGCTTGGTTGGTACAAACCTCTTCCGAGGGTTGGATCCGTATCAGGAAATGGTTCATTTAATAAACTACTCAATTGTCCTTAGTAGGTAATATGATATAAAATATAGTATAAATTACAATTTTTTTTTGTTTTTGTGAAACGTATTCTCAGAATACGTTTTATAATGAATTATTTGTAAAATGTGTTCTCAGAATGCGTTTCATAATGAATTATTTGTAAAACGTATTAGGAGAATACGTTTTCCATTGAATTATTTCTAGAACGTATTTTCTAAATACGTTTTAAACTGGGAAAAATAAAAATAAAAAACTTAGTGATGATCACACGACTCGAACGCACCTGTTTTAAATATTCAAAACATCCAACTAAACCAAAATTACACGAACAAATCAACCAATCTACCTTAAATATCATCAAACCAAGTCCAAATAAATAAATAATCCAAACAAATCCAAATAAATAATCCAACCAAATCCAAATAAATAATCCAAACAAATCCAAATAAACAATAAAAAATCTAATCTCCCCACACATCACAAAGTCTAGACCTATCGCTGCGAGGATGTGAGGACGGACACTCATCCACAACATGCTCTGGATTACCGCATCTAGTACAATGCCCCCTCTCATTTCTGCGTCGTGCCCGACGATCCATTTGCATGCGGTAGCGTCTCGTTTGCTTGCGACCGGGTCCAACCTTCAAGATGATCCTCTCCCAATGTGGAATCAAATTCCATCCCACCGGCGGCCATGTATCCGGATTACCAATCGGAGTAAAACTCCAATTAGTAAATTGAGCTACCCAGGTCGACGTCCAGAATTGATCATCGTACAACAGCTTTGGGTCACCCGCAATTCTACGACAGACGGCTATCGCGTGAGAACACGGTTTTCTGTGTGTCTACCACTTCCGACAAGTACAACGTTTTCTGGGGTAATCAACCTTATACTTGTATTTCAACATTGATTTATATAATACAAAATAAAAAAAAAATGAATGAACAAAAAAAAAAAAAAACATATACTTACTTGTTTTGCCCTCTTCCACTAGTGCGTAGACCGGTTGTCACCGCGTACATCGATATGTCGTAGTCCGTACATTCCACCTCGTGAGTTGCGGCAGTTTGCTCCAACTGCAAAAAGGCAACATAGTGCAAATGAGCAATGGGACTCCTGCATCTGCTGGACTTGTGTTGTTCTTGTCGAAACAAATCCAGAGTTTTTTGAAATGTGGCCTATACCAAAGTTCTGCACGGTAGGAACCTAACCCCTTTCAGGACATTGTTGTAACTCTCCGACATATTCGTTGTCAAAGTGCCCCATCTACGTTTTTCATCTCGATACAGGGTCCACTGGTTCAAAGGAATGTTGAAAAGATAATTGTATGCGTCGGGATTAAATTCTTGAAGTCGCTGTTTTGTCTGTCGAAACTTTTGCTTCGACAACTGCGAACCCAACTCCCAACACCAATCCCAGATTTTCTTACTCCTGAACCGGGTCACCACGTTGCTTCGAAGGTGTCGAAGGCAAATCCGGTGATACGCAGCGAGTTCTTGCCAATCCGGTAATGATTCAATCGCACTGCGTAGACCCACATCCCTGTCAGAAAGAACGCATATCTTTCTGTCGAATACAACATATCGCCGCAGATTTCTAAGGAAAAATGACCAACTGCCCGTGCTTTCTTCGTCGACAAGCGCATACGCGATTGGCAATAGCCGCTTATTCGCAGTCTGTGCTACGGCCACGAGCAATTTCCCTTTGTAATGTCCACGTAAATATGTGCCATCAACGCTAATAACTGACGGGCACATTACGAAGGTTTGAATCGCGGGACTAAATGCCCAGAACACATATTTAAATTCTCTGTCTGGAACGTGTAGGGCCACATCACCACCCTGAAATTTCCAATCTATAGCTGTGTTGGGATTCGCTCTTTGAAGTGCGGCAAAATATCTGTATAATACAAAACAATTTCATAAATAAATAAACATACTGACAGACAAAAAACACGTATATTTGTAATTAATTTTTGCTTACTGAGGGAGTTCTGCGAAGTTCGACCGTACACACACTCAATTGCTTTTTTTTCTGCCGTGCCATGCCTTCTTGTAACTGACGTCGACTTTCCAACACTGCTTCACATCAGCCTGGACCATGTTAACGTTGTACTCCACTTTCTTCTGAATCTTTTTTTAATATAAGATTCGCAATCATATGGGCGGTCACGTTTCTGTGGTCATTTCTGTCAACCTGTTGCATGCAAGTGTGTTTGTCAGTCCATTCAGTTACTTCCCACAAATCATCACGCCGTCTGGACTTATTCACCCGAGCCTTCCACAAACAAGGCACATCTGCATTCGATTTGCAGACCAGTTTGAATGTCTTCTGATTTGAATCTTTTGACCGAACCTCCCGCAACCTATCGACGTTCCAAGCCATTAGACCCGTTTGGGCTTCT